TGCATTATTAATTGGATATGAAATGCTAAGAAGTTATCTCAAATCAGATTCTGATTCCAAATACTTCCTAAACTCATTCAATCAAAACTGGGTATCATTTACCCCATCCTTAATTTTCTCAGCAACACGGTCCCTGTATTATTTAATTATATTAGCAATGAGTAACAAATAATGTGTGTGTATATATGTATATATATAATTATAAAAAGACAAATTAAATTTGATTGTAATCTATATGAAGGTTCTGTTTGGTTTTTCTGACGCTCTGTCGACGAGTTTTTAACCGTTCTTTTTCCTGCTCAAAGATATTTTCAGCTTCTTTTGTTTCTTCTTCATTTAGATTACGATCATCGCTGTTAAAATATTCTGCTACATAACGTATATCAATAATTTGATCTCTAAGACTAGTTAAAGATAAATGAATAATTATAAACGTATTGATAATGTATCGATTGATAAAAATCTTCAATTTTAGAGAAATTTTAAATTATAATTACTCTTTGCCTACGGTATTCAGAGCATCATCATCAAAATTAAGAGTATCCTTTAATCTACACTCAAGATTTGGATCAGGGATACTCATCACACATCTTGATAAATTTTCATGTAGCAATGTATTTTTATTATCAAGGATAAGGTATGACAATCCCATTTTAAAGACATTATTCAAAAAAAGTGATTCCTCAAAGGTTCCAGCTGTCAACAACCTATATGAATATACTGACTTCTTCTGTCCATAACGATATACCTTTAAAAAAATCACAAAATAAAATGTTAATTGCATAACGGTTGATTATTTTAAAAAATTTTTATATAATATAAAATTTTTAAATAATAAATAAACAGTTAATAATATTTATTCAAGCAAGCAGGGTCTTTTTTAAATTAAATGTTATATAAAATGAATTAATTAAATCATACATACACACTTAAACTTGCACACACTCACATAATTTTTTCCAAGTTTGAACATGGATGATGTGCTTAGCATACTTAACATATGAATAAATATATATATATTGTATATCTATGTATATATTTATTGTTGGTGCTTTATTATATTATTTACTATTACTTATTAAGAATCTTAGGTCAAGTGAAATATCTAACATCATATAAGCCTAGAAATATCATGCACAAAAATATTTTTGTTATTTACTTATTCAAAAGGTGTCAACGTTCGCAATAATT